TGAGTGTGGGTGACGACATGGAGTAAAATTGAATGAAGGAGTTGAATGATCATTGAATGTTTCAATAGAAATAATAAAATGGTGATTATGATTGAATAAGGGTTTAATGGGTTGTGAGTGTTGTTGTATAGATGTATAATGGGCATGGTTCTAACAAACGCGCCATGGCGCGCCCCAAGGCGTGCCATGGCGTGAGGCGTGGTGTAGCCGTTACGAAAACGTCCAAGTCGGGTTTGTTAAGCGTGACGTCCAAATAACGTGTCAAGGCGCGCCTTATCGCGATATGGCGCGAGTTTTTTCAAAGCGCGAGTTTTTTTTTGTTTTTTGATTTTTTTTATCGGGACTAAAATAATTGAGTTTTTGTTAAATTTTTATATTAAATACTAATATAACACTTCTAAAAATTTGATATACTTGATAAAGATCAATAATTATATGATTTATCTCTTGTAATATATAGAAAATAGTCACGCCTTGAAAAACGCCATGACTCGCCAAGGCTTGTCATGACTTAACTTTTACCTTGCCGCCAAGCCACGCCTCACGTTATTTAGAAAATTGATAATGGGTGATGTGTCAATTCATTGAACACCATACAAAAAAGCTTATATAACCCGGTTAAATCATTTAAAAAACCCGATTTTCAACCGAGTCTTATAACTAGCGAGTCCTATGTGAAAAACTAAATAAAACCCGGTTTCAAAACCGAGCCCTTTTACACTTTAAAGAACACGGTTTTATATATATATATATATATATATATATATATAGGGTTAGGTTATTTTGTTCTAACTATCTATTGTGTGCATGTAGGATTGATTCTGGACCAATCATTTTAGTTATTTTAAGAAAGTAATTAATGCATATTACACGTTGAAGATATAATGAGTATTAATTAAATCTTCAGCATTTAATATGAATTAATTACTTACTTAAAATAACTAAAATGATTGGTCCAGAATCAATTCTACATGCACACAATAGATAGTAAAAACATTTGAACCTAACTCTCTCTCTCTCTCTCTCTATATATATATATATATATATATATATATATATATATATATATATATATATATATATATATATATATATATATATATATATATATATATATATATAAAGACCACTACCAATATGCGATATGCAGGTTACAACTATTACATTTCTACTTTTGAATTCAACCAATAAAACTCCCCTACATAATTTCGAAATGAATTCTTACATATCAACATCACTAATTAGTACCCGGCTGAAAGGTTTTTTGACACGACTTTTTTGCCACTTCCCACAAATATCAATCTCGTTGCATTCATTTGTGCTTCATATATGAACCTCCTATAACAAATACACACATGGAGATAACATTAGATGCCAACCATAGCAGATACAGGGTTGCTAACTTGTTATGTATGCATACTAAGTTTGTTGAAATATTTGTTTAATAATTTAAGTGTATGAAGCTTTTATTTTGTTTATTCCTTAAAGTAGCATCATTAGGTAAATGATATACTACAAACAACACACACACATACATGAGGGAGAGAGGGTGACCTGGAAGTTGTTTTTATCTCAAACTTGAAAAAAATGAAAGTGTTGGTCCTAAAAGTCATGAGATACAACAATTATTTATCTAATATGTTAGCATGCTCTAAATCAAAATGAAACTAAGTATAAATCACTATTTCAAATTTCACCCAAATATTTCCAACAACAAACTACTAGAACTTCCAAAAAAGTTACCTTATAAACATAAGAAAGGACGTGAGTACTTTTTCCATGATACCAAGCAACTCTATAAAGAATAGCAACTAATTTCCCCTGCACCATGTCAAAAGTTTAAAAATCACAGTTAGATATTTGAATATTCCAACTAATCATTAAATAAAATAAATTACCAACCCACAGGGCAGCTAAAATTGTTATTCATGGATGCTTTTGTGTCACCAAAAGCTTTAAAGTATATATCTAGTTTGATTTATTTTGACTGTCACTTCACTGTAACCTCTTTTATCAGATGCCCCCTAGCTAATTTTGTTGCCACACTCTTTCATGCTTTACTTTCTGCACTACATCAAACAAAACTTCCATTTTACAAAAACACTTTAAGGCAAAAACAACATAGAAATGATATAATACAAACCTAATGATGATACAGATTGACTATTTAAACCATTTGTAAAGTAGAGTAAACTTACTTATATATCCTTGTTTACTTTATTTTAATTCTTCAACATCACAATATCACTTTCAAAAGATACCTCTCATCATATCTCTATAAGCAGCATCAACAATTCCATACACATGAGGTAACTATTTATAATTTTTTCTTTACATAAAACATGGGTCATTGAATGGAGGAGCTGTGATGCAACCGGGTGCTGAAACCCTACATTCGATCCCATGTGAGAACAGTTTTGATGAGGGAAAGCCTGCATAGAAGGTGGTCTTTGTTGTGATAGCAGTGGAACTGGAGGGAGACAGTGGTGCTTGGGTAGTAACATAATAGATGTTAGTAAATAGTAAAATTAATCAGAATACCTCTGAGGTTGTTGCAGCATTCCTAACATTATTCGTACCTGAAGGTACATAGTAATAAAAGAAACAAACATCACAATTATTTGGTTCTACCGCATCCTTTAACATCAAATTGGTATTTTATATATGCATATTGAAGTCGTATATAAGTTGGTGCTCTGGCCTACTTACATGATTCAAAATTCATTGCTTATTTTGGGAAAATGTAGTTCTTGGAGTCCTTACCATGGTGACATTGTATAGTTTATGCTTCATCCGTGAAATGTTCATGCTCACTAGTGGTAATTGTTTTTTTTTTTGATAAATCTCGCTTTTTAATAAAATTAAAGACACTTCAAATTAAAAAAGAGTGTATTTAGGTCAAATATATAGCGAATCGTAGGCATGTAGGATTTAAGGGTGCCATTGAAAGTATGCTTGGTGCATGGGCACTCTTTTCATAACTTATACACAAAAAGTCTAAATTGCTGAAAAACGAGCCATATAACCTTAAAATTTGAGTGTCTTGGTCATAAAACTCGGTTGTATTCAAAAGTCTGGGACATATAACCTTATGGCTATAAGACACGGGTGTTACAATAGAAACCGGGTTATTTTAGTATTAAATATAACCCGGTTGTTTCCTAAAAGCCGGGTCATATGAGATCCTCCCTTATAAATCCCGTTTTTTGCATAATATAACCCGTTTTTTTTCCAAAAACTGGGTCTTATATACGGCGTCCTATGTGCCATTTTGTAGTAGTGATAGAATTCATGGATCCATAAATCAAGCAAACATATTGATGTAAAACTGTAAATATATATCAACAATAATAGACATCCGATTAAGTTTGATGACATGTATCATTAGCTAATGATTATTATATTACTCATATATAAATCATATATATTTGGGTAAATTACACCATTCGTCCCTCGTGCATGTGTCAAAAAGCACGTTTAGTCCCTATTTTCAAAAATTAACCCGGATCGTCCCTGGGTTTGTTTTTTCTTGCACGCTTAGTCCCTATTGACATAAAATGACTATTTTGCCCTTAATAAATTATTTTTTAATTTAATTTATTTATCATTTTAAATTAATAAAAAAAAGAAAAAAAATATTATGTCCAAACCCACCCACCCCTCCTTTCCCTTTCCCAGATTCTATCCCTTATTCTCACCTATTCATCTTCCTTTCGAACTCATCTTCCTCTCTAATGATTGGCACCCCTGAAGCTACTCTGACGAGATAATGAAACCATCCACACTCAATGCACAATGTAGAACAAAAGCAACAACAGAGAGAGAAAGAAGCTGGTGGCGGTTCAAATATGAGTTTCAGATGGGAGTTTCATATCCGGTGGAGCTGGTGGTGTTTAGGGTGGTTTCCGGTAAAAAAAACCTCATACTTTCTCCTCTAAACCCACTGATCAGAGAGAGAAAGAAGTTGAGGGAAACAAAATCGATGAGAGGAAGAGGAAGAGGATACCAAGGAGATCGGTTTTCCGGAACTGAAATAAAATCCTCCATGTGTCGCCTCCAATCCACCACCGTCCTCCCCTGCAAGCCACTACTGAAGTTGTAATCCATGGATTTGCACTTCATGGATCTGCACTCTGTCGATATGCACGCTAGAGATCGTCTCTTCGAACTCTTCTAGGTGCTGGTACATGAGACGTCAGGTTTAGAGATGAAGAAGGGGACAAAAGGGGTTAGCAAAGTTTGGTCGGAGACGGAGGGGGACGACGACGTCTGGTCGGAGAAAAACGTTGTTTTCCCCATTTTGATTTTGCCCTAATTCTGGATTGTTTGCATAATAATTGGTTTGCTTATATTTTTTGGGTTTTTCGGTAGTAATGATTGAGCGATGACAGGTGGTGTTCGAAGGGGGTGGGGTGAGCTGAGACCAGATTTCTGGTGGTGGTTGTCTATGTTTCCAATGGTGGTTGCGCAAGTTTTTAGTGGTGTTGCAGATGTTCGATGAGGGTGGTGGTTTAGTGTTCTTTAAAATAAGAGAAAGAGCATGTAAAAGTGTTAGGTGGACCCACAAATTTAATTAAAATATTTTTTAATAATTCAAAATAATCAAAAATATTAAAAATAAATGAAAAAGAAATTGCAAAGGGCATTTTGGTCATTTCAAGTCTCACAAGGGATGAAACATGATAATTTAAACTAACGAGGGATGAAGCGTGCACCTTTTTATGATATAAGGGACGGTCCGAGTTAATTTTTGTAAATAAGGACTAAACGTGCTTTTTGGAACATGCACGAGGGACGAATGGTGTAATTTACCCTATATATTTAGACAAAGTTATTGTTATCGAATACAGCGGAAACAGACAACACACACGTACGTAATCACTCTTTCAAAAGCACAACACACCGCGACTAAAACGACAGATGAACAAAGGAAATGCAATGAAAAGAACCATCATCTATAATCGATGTTTCAATTAAAAAACATGCAAAGATCATAGATCTCACTCGCCTTTGGGACTCCAGACAGTGTAGTAAGTTTGAACAGCACTAAGAAAAAGAGCCATCACAGCTCCTACTAGAGCTAGAAACGACCATGGGCTCTTGATGTACTCGTGCTTGAGTTGTGAACACCATGTGTTCCTCAAGTCTTCATAATGTTTTTGGATTTGGTACATGACTTTGGAATATGCTATATTGTTGGGCACCAAACCGCGACCGTTGGCTATTTCGTTGAAGAGTGTTGCAACTTCTTGGTCACTTCCAAGGGAGTTATCAAGGACCCCAGCATTTCGAAGAGCCTTAACATCCTCAGGGTGATCGATGAGAGAATCGAGGAGGCATATGTAGGAGGTAACCCATGCATGTGCGTCATCTGAACACATTTCATAGGCTATTAAGTTTAACACCATGAGCTTGGTGGAGTCATCCACGGTTATCGGAGGAAGTTTTAAATATGCTGAAAACCACCACCACCACAGTTCAACGAACTCCACAGTATCCAAAGACATTCGGCTACTCGGCTTGAAATGGATCCCGACATCTACAAGCTCGCTAACGTTACGAAAAGTACATCTGGTGCTTATTTCATCATTACGGTTGGAATGAACAATCGTGTGGGATTCATTCTGGGCACTTATCCCCTTTAGCCCAGTATGCAGACGATGGAGCAGATGATCACCTATGAATATGTAGCTCCCGTGTGATTCTGGTGCAGAATTTTGATCAGTTTGGGTCGAACGACTTCCTAAATTAAAAAACTGGAACCAAACTCTTTTCTGCATCCGCGGAGACAAAATGTTGTCAACGAAGAAGGATTGAAACTTGTCAAGCCTATCAAGTTTTATCAAATCCATCACCTCGTTTAGAACTTTGAAGGGAATTTGGTTTTCCAGCGAGAACAAGTCTTGGTTGATTAACACAGTCTGGTGGCTTCTCAAGTAGCTACAATTTTCAGCTCTCTCCCCGTAGATAAATCGGATATAATACAAAATAAAACATCCGTCCAGCAACATCATCGTAGTGAATTCCTCATCATTGAGATGGTCTGTTGATTCTTCCTCATAGAACCCTCTTAACTCTTTCACCACGTTCGCTTCCCCAAGCTTTTTATACAAGTTGCTAAGGCCCACCTTATACTCCAATCGTGAGAGGAGTTGCTTGGTAAAAACAGGCTTGAGTTTCTCGACTGACTCGAGCTTCGGGTTGCCATAATGGTATGGACCGATGGAAACGACCTTTGGAACATAGTACTTCTCGTAATCGCCCTCCTCTCTCAACAAAATCTCCGGGACTCTGCGGATTCGTGCGGATGACGAAGGTGGTGGCATGGCGTTTTCTATCAAGTCGATAACAACACATGCCCCATCTTGGTTCTCCATGCTGCTAGAATTGATATCGTCGTGCTTGGCTATTTTTGGATTTCGTGGTTTTGTATTAATTAGTAGTTATGGGATCGTAAGCAAGTACTGTCGATGATCTTGGTACATGAATAAAATAAATAGCAACATTAGTGATTCAGAATCTTGAAGACCACTTTGTTTTGCTTTTTTGGGAAAGAGTTGAAGACCACTTTGTTAACATATGAAGCTAGGAATCAGCATAGCATGACAAAGCTTGCTTTTGAGGTGAAGTATTATTAAATATATACTTTGAGGGTGAAAAACGAGGAATCCATGTTGCTTTTGGTTTTAAACATTAAATAAATTAAACCAAAAATTGCCAAATTAGTTAGCAATATAGTTTTTTTTTTTTTTTTTTTTTTTTTTTTTTTGTAAAAAACCAAAACATGGTATATAAGTATATAACTGTAAAAAAATATTTAGCAATGGTACTTCGCAAAATATAGGATAAATAATTGTAACTAGAAAAGAAACATGTGCGTTGTATGAATCAGATTTTTTTTTCTTTTATTTATTTTTTTATTTATTTTGATGTTTAGTGGGCCAAGTACAAAATATTTGTTGCATAAGTTGAGTTTTTTGTCTCATTAATCCTGCATAAAAAAACAATACCAATAAGTATAAGTCAATATATAATATGTCATAAAATGATGGAATGGAACCTGCAATTGACGTGGAATCTGAGCGAATGCTTTGTCAATTAGAGTATAGATTAAAGTTAGAAAAGATAAATTATAAATTTGGTCTATATTTTTAGATCAAAAATTTTATTTTACCCTTTAAAATCCTGAAAAAAATAAAAATAAAATTATACTCTTATGTTCTCTTACAACATGTACTTTCAATTCTTTTTAGAGCCACTTCACATAAAGCATTGAAATTTTTTAATGTTATAGCAGCAATTTTAATCATGTATTTTTTTGCTTATGACATTGTACTTTCAAAATAAAATGCTTAGAAAAGATGCATTTTAAGAAAATTAGAATATTATAATAAGTAGGGGCGTAGACACCCGTTAACAAAACAATTTAGTGACTACGGATGGGGTGGAGGGCATGGATCATGAAGATGATAAACCTTCTCACCTCAATGGTCGTTGGTCAGCATTAGACAACAAAAGTTAGATAATAACAACATCCGTTCTACACTTAAAACCCGATTCAAAAGAAAAAAATTACCATGAAACACTGAAACCAACATTTCAAATTCAAGAAAATAAATATTTTTTTTTTGAAAAATATTTTGTGGTGAATTCTTTTACCGATCTGACTTTTGCAAAATGGTCATAATGGTTTTTATACCTATTGCAATTTTTTGACCAAAGAACTTAACCTTGATTTTGTATGCTCCACTCAAAAACCTTCCAATAACAATAAAATATCTTTGTAATTTTAGGGTATAAAAAAGTAAAAGAAAACGCTTCGCCTTTCCGTCGACACACAAAAAAAATGTTAGATTCATTAGGCACAAAAACCACAAAGTTGATGGCAGAATCACAAGCTGACCATCCACTGATTTGAAGGCCCGCTAACATATCTAACTCTTGTTAGAGAGTATGCATTTGTTTATTTTTGTCAAATTGCGTACTCATTTATTTAGGGTTCTCCTATATACACGAATAAATTCGTGTATTGCATAAAAGTCCCCTTTTTACTTACCTTCACATCCAATCTGTCCAATCCATTATAAATCCATTATACTTGTCAACTATTTTCATTTAAGACCCTATAACTTATAACAATAACCTGTATTACCCCTTTAAGTTTTAAATCTTTTTACTTTAAAAGTTTGTATTTTTTTATAATAATATATTCTATGTTTTTGACAAATTTTCATATATATATATATATATATATATATATATATATATATATATATATATATTCAAACGAAAACAATTATGAAATCGAGAACGCGAGAAATGATATTGACAATCCATTTTGAAATGATATTTTTTTCGATTTTGTTTTTCAAATTTATTATAAATTTTAATTTTTAATTCTCTATAGATGAACATTAATATTGATATAATACTTTTTTAAACAAATACAAATAAATTAATTTTTAATTCTCTATACATGTCTAATACTGTTGACTAAAAATGAATGTTGAAAAAAAATAGTGTAAGATTTGTTGAAAAAACATATCATTTCAAAAGATGTTAATGATTTTAGTGTCACCGTGTCATTTTATATAATTGGAACTAAAAATAAATTTATATGTTTATGGTTCTTAAGTTGAATATTTATGTTTGTTCTTTTATTTCATATGGTTTTTGACACTTACATATATCATTATTTATGAAAATAACATATATTTTTTATCCACGTAATGAAATAACATATATGTCCGTAAAATCAAACGTGTTTGAAATAATACCAAGATTATATTTATTATTCATCAATACAATATAAAATATTAAACCAAAACATAACTAATGTTACACACAATTGAAAAAAGCTTTTTATAAAAATAAAGATAAAAACGGCTGGGCAATATATATTTGGATTTATATATTATTTGATATTAAAAAGGATGATTTGGAATCTTAAACAAGAATCTTAAAAAACAAGATTATAAAAGAATAAGGGTTAAAGTAAACACTTATATATATATATATATATATATATATATCTATATATATATATATATATATATATAAAGTTTATAAAAAAAATTATAAATAAAAATAAAATTGATATACAGTCAATCAAAATTTGTGTTTGACATTGACTGGCGGCACATCAAATCTTCGTGTAGTTGGAATATGGTTTGTGCCTTTAGAATTACCCTTTATTTAAAGAAAAAAATTTAAGAATACCAAAAATGTCAATTATTCCATCGTCATTCCATCAGTAGCAACAACTGGTAGAATCTTTCCATTATATATATATATATATATATATATATATATATATATAGAAATTAAATATCTTCCTATATTTTATTTCCTACCCAATAAAATGGTGACATGTGTAACATTTAATGCTTATTTATTGAGATTTAATGATATTTTAGGATACTAATATGATACATGTCATCATTTAAATTGGTAGGAAGATATATATAGAAACAAAAAGGCAAGAGGAAATTTAATTTTTCTCACTCTCTCTCTCTCTCTCTCTCTCTCTCTCTCTCTATATATATATATATATATATATATATATATATATATATATGGGAATATACATTGCAGCACCACCTAATCTTAGGTAATAAACCTCTTGAAAATACATTGTTTTACTATATAAAGATTATGGTTAGTGGATTCACGATTAATACTTGAAGAATTTAAATTCAAGATCGACACAATAGGATTTAGGGTTTAGGGTTTAAGGTTTTAATAAGGAAGTAAGAATATTGATTATCTTTGCCCTTCATGACAGTGGAAAAAAGTAATGTTCACTTGGGTGAAGTAGTAAACGATAATGGAGGAAAGAAAACAGAGGTGGTAAAACGATAATGAAAGAAACAAATGTTATCGAGGATGATATATTTATCAAGTGAAACCAAACCGGGTATATTTACAAAGTTAAAATGACATATTTTAAAGGTTTAGTACCTAAATTTAAGTGAGGCTGTAATGTATATTCCCTATCCCCTATATATATATATATATATATATATATATATATATATATATATATATATAATTAACTTCTATGTCGTCATGTTCCATACAGTTAACGATGTGAACCCCAATTTATCTAATATAATTTGCGTCATTCCTACAACAAAAATGAGTTTTTTAAACTTTGGTAAACGTTGTTGTCATGTTACAACAAATGTGCCATTAGTGGGATTATAAAATAGTTTTCATACAATTGTTAATACTCTAGATAATAGTTGAAGTAAGAGGTGGGATTTTTGGAAACTTGGTGCAAATCATGAACAATATAGTCAGCAGATACTACCTTTTGGATGGTGATACAGAGACAAAAAGTGGTTCAACGGGGCTGCATTTTAGACCAAGAACACTGCAATAGAAATATACAAAAAGATTAAACAATAGAAAATGAAAAGATTTTGGCATTTCGGAACAAAAAATAAGAATAAATGCTATAATAATATTACGATATTAGGCATAAGCCTTAAAAATGCTTCAGCTATATTGTGATGACAAACAACTTTTTTTGCATCAACATTCCATGCTTTACCCCTCGATCAATAGTGCCTCCTTCATCGCATCCGCTGCCAAAATAAGTTTAAAAATTACATCTTTCTTCATTAAATTGTGGATTTTTAGGTTCATGAACAGTAACTTGTGAAGCTGATGCTGATAAACTTAGAGAACCGTAACTCAAAATTTTGTAATAAACACATGAAAAAAAACGATCTTTAGTTCTTTGAATTCCTAAACCTTAAAGATTAGAAACCCATTGTTGTCCAAATCAACTGCTTTCCCTTTTAGTTTCTTAAATTTAGAAACAAATTCAACACTAAGGACCTAAGCATGACGAATTCAAGAAATTAAAGTAAAGAAAAGGCTTATCGGATGGGGAATTAACTTGATCATCAGCAATTTAGCATCCTTTCTCACATAGATCAACTTGAGTTTCACTTTCTCTATAAATACATTGACCTGACGTGCAGTTAACACAAAAAGCAAACCATCTTTCAGTTTCTCTATTTTCATTTTACAACCAAAAAGCGGTATCATCATAAACACGGTGAAAATTTTGTCATGCCCAAAACTAAGGTTACCTTGAACAACAGACTGCAAAAAAAAAAAACAATTAGAAACATCGTTCAAGAATTTTATTGAGCAGTTGGTGTGCATCATCAAAGTTTCTTTCAAATCTGAAAATCATGTGGCTCTGTATAGCTAAATCGTCTTCCTGGGGTATGACTGAAGCCAGTCACCTTCCCCGATAGATATTGTCTTCGTCTTTGCATATTCTTCACGCCCAGCTCTTCCTGCTTTGACCTTCATTCAAATGAAACTCTTTAAAGATCTATCATTTTCAGTTCAAATAGAGTGTTGAAGTATGGATAGAGGAACTTACCACGATATCTAATACGTTTACTGCGATATTGCTTGGGCAATTTCCATCCATTGTTTGTAATAGCGGGACGCCACTGCTGCACCCTCCGGTGGTCGGCACCGTAACCATCGCCAGCTGCACTCATATTTTTTTTTGTTTCCGTGACCTGACAGCAACATAGATGAATCAATTATGTCCTCTGTGTTACATGTTTTTCAACTTGAAACATGATGAAATCGAAAAAAAAGAACCAACAATGAATAGAATGGAATAAGAATTCAATCTTTATAATCAAATTAAAAAATTCACGTAAAACACTAGTAAACGTATCTGATCAATTTGAAGTTTGAGAGGCTTGATTTCATCCAATAGAAACTTTCCCTTACCCTCCCACCCTTGTTCCTCTCTAATCGACCGCTGGTCCTCCCACATCCACCGCTGCTGTTCCCCGACCCATCCCGTTTGTTAGCGGTCGTATTCAGAAGAGACGAAGAAGAGTCAAGAAGAGTAGTAAAGGTATTTGAGTTGGTGGAATAAACCAACCCCGGTCGAGTTGAGCTAAACCCATGAATAGTAGCCTGTCAGGTACTGTTCATAAGGATGTTGTGCTTTAATTTATTTGCTAACACTACTTTAGAAAAAATAAGCTAAACAATTGTAACCAGCAGATATGTAAGTAATCTGTTGTAACACTCGCAACTTCTGGCTGGAAAATTGAGAAATAGTAACTAATGGCTATTATAATTTAAACCCTCGAATAAAGAATCATTAGTCGTGAGCGTTGCAGACTACATATTATAAGCCTTTTTGTAGATTTATCGATAACTGATTAAATAACGTTTTCAATAGATGATTATAGGATAAAAAAATCTTGATGAAATTGTAGTAGTCGAAATGGTGATTCTATAGATATAAGGAACGCCTAAATCTGACTTTGTGAGAGAAGTTCTGATTTTTCGAAGTATCAGTGTAATAATGTACGACACAGAAACCAAAATTGAAATCGGTTGATTTTTAGGAAAAACAATCTAAACGACAGTCGAAGATCTCATCAATAGGATTCCGTCGATATAAAGACTGTCGAGAACGGAGATCGTATGAGAAAATTCTGATTTTTTATACGGAGTTTAACAGTATAAATCTGTTAAAAATATAACTTTAGAAACTAAGTGAAAATTTGCTAACCGGGACTAAATAAAAGTTGTAGATCTCGTCGATAGCTATGTGTGGATCAGAAGAACGTCGAAAATGGAATTTGTATGAAGAAGTTACGAATTTTTGAAAATTTCCCGTCGACGCCACGTACGCATAGGTGCGACACGTGCTTCTAGAAGCTAGCCACATCGAAACTAGCTTGCAAATAACACGTGTCATTTGGAGAGCGGCTGACCAGAGCCAGGGCACGCCACACCTTCCCTGTTTTTCCATATAAATGTGCAACCACCCCTAATTTGTTTCTCACACCTTCCATAATTCCTTCTCTGGAAATTTCTTCCATAAATCCAAAAAAATCCTGGTATTTAGGATAATTTGGCTAAGCTCTGAGGTCCATGAGAGCCCGGAAAGCCGAAGCTATTAGGTCGGAGTTCTGCCAATACAATTTACAGACTCTTTTCAGGAAAATCTCTGTAAGTTAAGCTACACTTATATTGCTTTAAGTGTAATTTATATTTATATACATAGTCGTTGTTATGAAGTTATAAATAATATTTTTCAATGATTCCAAGTCATATTAGTGATTGACCTTCATGCGGGAGTGATGTTAGAATAAATCAAGAGTTGATCGATAGATTCAAGAACAGGAATAAGAATCAAACACAAAGAATGAAGATCAAAGTCGTGCTGAATGATTAAAATTTGTGCCTTAGAAGAGCTCGATAAAGAATTGCTACTGTAAAGGCACAGTAGGGTTACAAAAAGATCGATCCTAAATATGGTTCATGCATGCACTATAAATAGCCCAACCCTAGCACATTAAAAACCGGGTGGACAGGCCCAACCCGTTACATAAAGATCAAACAATACAATACAAATTTGACACAACACTAAATAACCCCAACAATCTCCCCCTTTGTGTCAATAAAGAAGGTAGATCTTCATTGTTGTTGGTGTTTATGAACTGTGAACAACTTCGGTATAATGCCCAACAAAGTCTTGCGAACTTGGAGGTACCAGTTACTCATATCCGAAAACACTTCTTATCTCCGACACTGTTCGCTTTCCACTGATCTATGAACTCCAAAATGTACTGCAGGCATGGAGTGAAGTATAAATGTTTGTCAGAAAGGTAGAAGCAAACTTTGTGAAAATTAGCACCTGCCATTTCTTTTATTTGAAAAGCCATACACCATCCATCCTTTCGTATTTTGCCCAGCTTCATTATAGCAAAATCTTCTGGAGCATCCTTGGGCAACACGGTTGGCTTCCTTCGGAGAACCGCTGCAATCTCTACATCCATTTTTCCAGCCTCCTGGGTATATGAGACCATCATCCTTTTAAGATGTGCAATGATGGGTTCGAACTTCTTTTCATCCTTCAGCAACAGATGAAGCAGAGAAATCCAATCGTACGGGTTTAAGCATGGCAGATCTGCGAGAGTAAACTCGAACATCTGACTCGTAGTAACTCTTGCAAATTTGAAACGAGCGTCCAGGAAGCTTTCAGTTTCAAAAGGGCCAGAAACCTTTACAACTGTAATTTTCTTCAAACTCCAGGTTTCGTATTGAGGCTTCATGTGCTTTAGGTAGAAAGAGAAGAGCATATGATCAACACTATTATCGAAAGGAGGAACATTCACAACTTTGTCAAAGCTACGAAACTGGAATGCCTTCGGATTTATTGGCATATCTAGTTGCGAATCACTAGTGTTTTCCATTTCGAAAGAGGTCATAGGCTCTAGTCAACAAACGTTTGGATTATCAACAGCTTCATTCAGAATCCATTCCATTGACCAGAGAGGAAAATTGTTTTCTGAGCTTTTAATGTTTCCTCAGCTGCATGAGTTGCCTTCTCTCGTTCCTTAGCCTCCCTAGCTACTCACAGATTTTCATCTAGTTCAGCATCGCGAGATTTACGCTTCAATTTCGCATTCTCATTCTATTCCTCCTCCTCATCATCATCATCATCTATTACCTTTTCTTTACCTCTCGAACCTGAAGCTACATTATCCTTCGGTTCGTTAAACTTGGGCTTTTCTTCATTTTCATCACCACCACCAGTACTTTTACCTGCACTAGAAGTTCTCGTAGGTTCTCCCCCTTGTTTTGGAATAGAATATTCCGAAATACCTCAATTATGTCGAGCATTGCGAAGATGGGCTTTAATTTCTCTGCAAGATGCTGACAAACAAATACGGTGAGGAGAGAATCACGAGTCTCGATTAGACTGTGCAAATTGGCGTTCACATCAGCAATGCAAATTTGAATGACAACGTTCTTGGATTTGAGTAGGTCTATCTAAGAGTTTGCATGCGATAATTGCACTGAGAGAACCTTCACCTTCTAAGTTTTAACAGCAAGCTCATCCATTATTATGTTCTCCATTGCCAAGTCTTCTTGTAGTTTCTCGATCTTTGAGGAGATGTAAGTTTGAAATTATGTATTATTAGTTTGAATTCCGGTACGAACCGTCTCAAGAGTTGTTTTCTCAGTGGTAAGGGTAGATCCAAGACTGGTAATCACTTGATTTGCTTTGGACTACGAATCCTCCGCATCACTCGGAGTTGGTGTTCTTTGCTTGCGTGTAGCTCGCTTTTTCTTCTTTGGGGCCTGAGGAGGTTTGGATGGTCCTGCCTTCGCTTTTTGTTTTCCTCCTTTCTTTGGCTTGTCTGCTTCCTCCAGAATCTTTCACACTATGTCAGTCAATGGTCGAGGACCTGAATCCGGTTTTCTGCGATAGGCTTGGATTACTTCACTGTCAGCCGGTACATTACGAAGCATCGTCTCTGGAATAGATCCGATAAGGTAAACCGTGAACTATCAGACAGAATCACGCTCGAAGTATGAAAAACCAGAATAGCAGCAATTATGGAACCCTTGATTACTGGAATATTGTGGCGATTAATGGCTCTCTGAACAACAATCGACCAAAAACGAGCACATGATATCTCGTTTTTCCTTGTAACTGAAAGAGTACTCTGAACGAGTTGAGTCCAAAGCACCGAACCGTAATCCAGATTGACTCCTGAGTATAAACTATAGAGGATTGTGAGAAAGAGCTTACTTGCGCTATCTGATCCGGTCACCCTTTCTGAAAAGCTCTTGAAAATTAGGGTGAATAAACCATTCCACATAGGAGGAAGGTTGGGCTTCTTGAACTTGGAGACAACGGAAAGATACTCTCTGTAACCCATCTGGTAGACCATCTCCAGAATAGCATAATTCGAAACTGATTCTGGATCAACCAAGTCTCGTCCTTGAGAAAACCCTAACAGGGACTGAATCTTGACTTAGTGATTGAGGTTTTCTGATTCCAAAGATCAAAATAGATGGTAGAATCACTCTCTTCATAACGAGTAGTAGAGTAAGTGTTGGATAGAAGAGCCAACAAAACATTTTTTGTTTTTGAAAGTGCAGGAGCCAGATGAGAATGTCTGAGGCACTCGATCAGTGGTTGAAGAAAGGCATCATATTTGGATGAATCAAGGTCCAAAATGAGATTTTGGTTAGCCTTGATGCCTAGTAGCCCTGACGAAGCAGTTTGACCTGCAACAGATGGGGTTTCTGAAGAAGATGTCGTGGAACCTGGTGAAGAAGATGATGAACAGTGCTTGAGAGAGAAAAGGGTTTTCTTGCGCCAGAGAAATTCTTTTGAAGGTAGTAATGAATAGTAAAGCATCAAATTCCTTATATACGGTATGATAGGTGTGAGAAAACTGGCAGTTGACGCTCCATTAACCCTGAAAAAGCGTCTGGAAAAGTGTGACAGGTTGGTGTGTGTCAGGCGTGCGTCAGGCGGCGTAATTGACAGCGTGATGTCAGTGTCAGTTTGAAATTTTCATGCGCCTTAATCTAAATCTTATCCCTTAAGTTTCTCCATTTTGAATGTACCCTTTCGCAATAGATAACCATTTCCTGTACTCCGAATCTGAAAGTAACCAAGAGAACTACGAACCAGACTTTTTGAAAATCGTAAGGATCTTCGTGCAAGAGTGTGCCAAAGATAAAGAAATAAAGCAAAATATCTAAGGGATTCTAGTGATGTCAATAAAGACATGAAGCAGTTGGATCCCGAGCAACGATCTTTTCCTTCGGAGTCAAGAGAGACTCGGAAGTGTCTGTGTGGTATCCCGTTGAATTACAATCATCTGTTTGTTGAGAACAGTTAAAGGCTTCTTTTCAATAAGGCTTATGGGTGGCTTCATCTTCAACCAAACTCCAAAACTTGACATAAGTACGAACGTTCGGATGAAGTACTTGTCTGACCAGTGTAGCCATATGAACAAGTATGCTTTGGAATTTATTTGAGTGGCTGGATAATTATGGAAATCTCAAGAAAAAAAAACTCGATCTTATGGGAAGAAATGTCTTAGGTCTAGAACATCTCATTAAGATCTTATATAAATAAAAAGATATTTCAAGGTACAACCCACGAATGTGGATATTCGTTAATTTCATGGTGATAAATCTAGAACATATAAATTGTTCACCTTCAATTCCAAAATTGGTGTTGGATTGTGGGTTTTACTCAATTCGTGGTTATAACAAATTTAAGATCATAAACACAGAAATTGTGTAACCGTAAACCTCAGTTGTAATATCTGAGAGTCTTAAGGGTTACAAGTGTGAATGTGAAAATGATGGAGGACTTTAGGAGGTGGTTCCTGTTAGAACAAAGTTCAATTAGGATCGTTAGATTCTATGCAGACAAACGATTAAGAAAGTAATTATGAACACGAGAATGGCTTTGAATGTGTCGTATGATTAAAACTTCAACACCTCAGAAGAGCTCGATTAAGCACTTCGACTGTAGAGGTGTTTAGGGTTACAAAAACAATAAACGTAATAATCAACAACGTTAACCTCCTAACGCATACATGCATGCATATTTATAGTATAACCCTACTAGATAATCACGGATGGACATGCCCAATCCGGATACAAAACATAAGCCCAAGACCCAACACAATTAGACTCAACAATCTCCCCCTTTGCGTCAATGGGACAGAAAGCTCACTTCGGCTGAGCTGCAGAAGACTTCTTTATTGTTTTGAACACCTTCAGAATGATAGCCAACAAATGATGACGGAACGTTATGTACCACCGAAGCATGTCCGTGAAGTTCTTTTTGTCTGCTTCTGAGTTCTGCTTGCACCGATGAATAATGTTGATGATGTGCTCCAAGCAGTCAGTTGAAAACAAATGTTTATCAACAAGAGCAAATAAAAATCTGTAAGCTTCGCCTTTTGTAAACATCACAGTAAGATTTGTTGAATCTATTTGCCCCATCTTCATCTTATTCACATCACCTGGTTTCGGTGTTGGCTTGATGGTCGGTTTCTTATTCATCACTTTCGCTATCTCTTGATCCATAGCTGCAACCTCATGGATGTATGAAGCCAACATCCTCTTCAAGTGCTCCAATATCGGCTCATATTCCCTCGGATTTGTGAGCAGAATATTAAATAAAAGAATCCAGTCATGAGGATTTAGATTGGGAAGGTCTGCCAGGGAAATAATCGACACCGAGTTTGAAGACCCTCGAGTGATTTTAAAATTGACATTTACAAACCGCCCAACAGACGTAGGTTTCAGTACCTTGACAGTGATTATCTTTTGTGCGCTCCATGTCAAGTACTGAGGTTGTCCATTCTTCAGATAGAAATCAATAAGCTCTCGGTCAACCTTTGGATGTGGAAAAGGAACCTCAAGAGTTGAATCAAAGCAGTGAAACGTGAATGCATTTCGTGTTATCGGCATGTCGAACTGCGAGTCCTTAGAATTATCACAGTCAAACGAAGCAACAGGTTCCAACCAATAAACACTTGGAAACTCTATAGCTCGATTGATAAGTGCCTCTTTTGTCCATAAGGGAAACAAGGCCTTCTTACAGTTCAAGACTTCTTCTTCTTCCTTGTTTCTCCTTTCCCTCTCCTCTGCTTCCCTTGCAACCTTCAAGGTTT